AACGAACCTGTGTGCATATATATGTGAGAGGAAATTATGTATGAGGCAAACAAAGCAACGTGTAGGATAATATAAATCATATGAATTAGTATGGTGTGTAAAATATAACAACATGAATATTTCAGTAAAATGATATAGATATAGCTTGGTTGCGCTCTTCCCCCCCTGTCCTTCCACCCTCACTCCCTTCCCTTTCCATCCCTCTTGTCCACCTCCTTCCTTCTCAGTCTTTCTACCCCTCCTTCCTTCTGCATCTCTCTTCTTCCATCTTCCAGCAGCTTCCCTATCAATCTCTCTACTCCCCCTTCTCTCTCCATTCTTCTACTTCCACTGCAGGAGCTGGGAGAGGTGAGCTCTACAAGAGTATGAATGATAACTAAGATGTCCTATTTCCTTTGCTAAGTAATGTTGTTGGAGCAGGCTGCTCCTTCGAGAGCGAGGAGTTTCCCCCCCTGTCCTTCCACCCTCACTCCCTTCCCTTTCCATCCCTCTTGTCCACCTCCTTCCTTCTCAGTCTTTCTACCTCCCCTCCTTCCTTCTGCATCTCTCTTCTTCCATCTTCCAGCAGCTTCCCTATCAATCTCTCTACTCCCCCCTTCTCTCTCCATTCTTCTACTTCCACTGCAGGAGCTGGAGAGGTGAGCTCTACAAGAGTATGAATGATAACTAAGATGTCCTATTTCCTTTGCTAAGTAATGTTGTTGGAGCAAGGCTGCTCCTTCGAGGAGCGAGGAGTTGCTTCTTGGTTCCCCGCAGGGGGTCTGCCCATCGCGTTCTAACCACGGACTGATGATAGCTTTGGATCACAGATTTGACATGTGGCAATTGGAGGCGAAGGAGGAATTGTTGCATCGACACATAATTCCTGCGGAAAGGGAAAGACAACACAACACTGATAAATAAGAGTGTCGGGAAGAGATGAATAAACAGGTAAAGCAGCGAACTTGTGTATATGTTTATGTGTGTGTAACAAAGTCATATAAATGAGGTCATTACGTGCAATATAATTATTACAATAGATACATAGTATCAGCATACACAACTGAATAATATCAAAAGGTGATACTAACAATGATAACAATAGAAAATATATGTCTAATAGAGGGACACCATTTTCCTCTCTCCACCCTTTTGCTCCCACCTCTATTCCCTCACCCCCATCTTCTTTTCTCTCCATCTCTCTTGTTAACCTGTTTCCTTTTCAGTCTTTCTTCTCTTCCCTCCTTCCCTAACCATCATTCTACTCTTACCTCTTTCTTTTCCCACCCCTCTTTACCAACTCTCTATCCATCCTTCTACTTCCCCGTTCTTCTGCATCCATTCTTCTCCTACCTATCCTCCTTCTCCCTTGCCCTGCCTCCCTCCTCCCCTCACGTAGATCTCCTGCCAAGCATTCCAGCGTGTTCACCTCCTCAGGCCCAGCTGCGCCTCGCCGCTGCTCGACTCACCTGCGCTCAGTCCCTCGTTGGCCGCGCTGGAGTGCAGACGCAACCGCTGTGCCGCGCGCTCTCGCCTCACACTCTCTGGGGGTGTTCCCGACGTTCACCTGCTCGGCACGTGTGTGTTTTGCGCGACCGCCTGTGTTCCTGCTTGCTGTTCCTTGTTCTCGGGGATTGTGCTTTCTGTGCTCGCATGGTCGTCTGGTATCGGCGATTCTTGATTTAATATGACGGCTTGGTCGGAGTGAAGGGAACGGTCAACGTCAGTGCGTCAGATTAGAGCATCTCTGGCTGACATGAGGATTTATGGATGTCTTATGACAGAGTGGAGAAGGACCTCAGTGGGTACTGGCTAATATTTTCTGGAAAGGAATATATTTGCAGGTATAATGCTATATAGAATATATAGTTAAAAAAATAACATTGGTTGCACAGAATACAAAACTTGCCCGTAAGGATTATAAAAATCTCGACGCGACCTGTTTCAGCGACGGATTGACCGCGTTAATGAAGTGACATAAGCTGACACACCAACAAGAGAGGCGACCTCAGGTGTGTGTGTGTGTGTTTGTGTGCGCTCCCGAACTCCTTTTTTGTTTGGTGCCAGAGGAAATACCGGGAAGACGACATTAGTATTCCAAGAGTGGCGTCAGGATACCAGTACTCTACCAGGGCCTCACTGCTGCTGGTGGCCAAGGAACTCGGCAACTTGGACCTGTCATGTTGCCGGTGTCCACACGCTGCTGCGCCGAGGAGACAAAAAAATCTAAACACTAGCACATATATCATCCAGGCACGAGGCAGAGTAAAGCAAGGGCATAAAGAAATAAGAGAGTGAACCTATAAGAGAGATAGTAAAACTAGAACATACAGTTATTCCCCTGGAGGTGGTCAAGCCAACGAGAACAATTTCATAATTATAGCGAGAAGATTGCAGAAGAGAGAAGCTTCGAACACCCAGATCAGAGGAGACTCCGCCACTTCCAGAACCGCCAGAGGATGTCGGAAGTGTTACGAGACGTCTGCTAGATCACAGTCCGACGGCAATGGCTCCTGTCGAGGTAAGTGCGAGGGAGGAATGGCATGTAGGGGTAACGGGCGCGCGAGTCCAACGAGGGTGTTTACCGGGCCATGCGATCGGTGCGAGCAGGACAGGTCAAGGGGCTTTTTGTGCGATTGCCTTCCCGCAAAAAGTAGTTTGATCGTCGCCGGTGTAAAAGGGTCATAATGAGCTCTCGATTGGTCTGCGTAGAGAGAGGGTGGAGTGGGATAAGAAGGGGGGTGGGGTGGGGCAAGAGGACCCAGTCATAATGAAGTACAAATACCAAGGAACTGTACAGAAGCAGCTCGGCCGCCCACTCGACGATCCTCCTGCACGAATGGGTCGAGACTCTTCTGTTCCTCTGTCTTCTGCTGTGCTCAGGAATGCAGAGGTTCATCCTTTATGCTCCTGGCACGTGCTCCGGGGACTGCGAGGGGAGGGGGGTGGAGAGGCGGGGTAAGGGGAGTGGAGGGGTCTTATCATGTGGCCGCAATCCACCTGTCATAAGGACGGGGGTGCTATTGTCTCGGCGTCTCCCTTTTAAGTCTCGATTCTCCGAAAAGGCTTTGCTTACGGTGCTCCTTTTCACAGTCGAATCTTCCTACCGCAGTGAATTATTTCTTTTTCACGGTTAGCTTCACTCGCCATGCTTGACGTGTTCCTCCGCCTATGCTTGGGTTATGCCGAGGCTCCTGTATGATGATGATGGATCACTGGTTGCATGTCGTGTCTCAGACCACCTGTCATGTCTTTGATCAAGTGTCATGCTTAACTTCTGTTATGGATGGGTTCTGACATTCGCATTTTGTCATGCGAGACCTTGGTCCACATAGTGTATTTAGGTTATAATACACACACACACACACACACACACACACACACACACACACACACACACACACACACACACACACACACACACACACACACACACACACACACATACACACACTTATATATATTAATCATCGTAGAATCATCTTTGCATGCTGTGATACACATTCCAACGAGATGTTTTGTTTTTCCTTCACTTCCTTGCATACTTTCTCTCGCAATGATTTCTCGTGAACTCGGCCATTCATTCTCCCACACTAAAATTCTCTCGTTATTCTTCTGCCCAAAAATTCTTCTCCGGTTCCTCCACGTTCCGTCTCTCACCCCCACGCTTCCGCCCCTCGACTCTCCTGGCGATCCGTCTCTCCCGCCTCAGTCCTTTGTCCTTCTGCCGTCATGGGATCTCCTGGCCCTCCGAGCGGCGTCCGAGCGGCGTCCTTGCGTAATGCCAGACTCGAAGCGTTTCCGCGTGGTAGTTCGTGCCTCGGGGGGAAAGGATTGCCTCACTCGCACAGACGACAGCCGGCGATGCTGCGGTGGGTCTCCTTTGATGGCGCGTCCAGATATATTCATTTACTGATTTGTACATTTCCCGTTCTTCTTCATCACATTCTTCTCTCTCTCTCTCTCTCTTTCTCTGTCTCTCTCTCTCTCTCTTTCTCTGTCTCTCTTTCTCTCTTTCTCTGTCTCTTTCTTTCTCTGTCTCTGTCATTCTCTCTCTCTCTCTTTCTCTGTTTCTCTCTCTTTCTTTTTCTCTGTCTCTGCCCCCCCCCTCTCTCTCTCTCTTTCTCTGTCTCTCTCTCTCTCTTTCTCTGTCTCTCTCTCTCTCTCTCTCTTTCTCTGTCTCTCTCTCTCTCTTTCTCTGTCTCTCTCTCTCTCTCTTTCTCTGTCTCTCTCTCTCTCTTTCTCTGTCTCTCTCTCTCTCTTTCTCTGTCTCTCTCTCTCTCTCTTTCTCTGTCTCTCTCTCTCTCTTTCTCTGTCTCTCTCTCTCTCTTTCTCTGTCTCTCTCTCTCTCTCTTTATCTGTCTCTCTCTCTCTCTTTATCTGTCTCTCTCTCTCTCTTTCTCTGTCTCTCTCTCTCTCTTTCTCTGTCTCTCTCTCTCTCTTTCTCTGTCTCTCTCTCTCTCTCTCTCTCTCTCTTTCTCTGTCTCTCTCTCTCTCTCTCTCTGTCTCTCTCTCTCTCTCTTTCTCTGTCTCTCTCTCTCTCTTTCTCTGTCTCTCTCTCTCTCTCTTTCTCTGTCTCTCTCTCTCTCTCTCTCTCTTTCTCTGTCTCTCTCTCTCTCTTTCTCTGTCTGTCTGTCTCTCTCTCTCTTTCTCTGTCTCTCTCTCTCTCTCTTTCTCTGTCTCTCTCTCTCTCTTTCTCTGTCTCTCTCTCTCTCTCTCTTTCTCTGTCTCTCTCTCTCTCTCTCTCTCTTTCTCTGTCTCTCTCTCTCTCTTTCTCTGTCTCTCTCTCTCTCTTTCTCTGTCTCTCTCTCTCTCTTTCTCTGTCTCTCTCTCTCTCTCTTTCTCTGTCTCTCTCTCTCTCTCTCTCTCTTTCTCTGTCTCTCTCTCTCTCTTTCTCTGTCTCTCTCTCTCTCTTTCTCTGTCTCTCTCTCTCTCTTTCTCTGTCTCTCTCTCTCTCTTTCTCTGTCTCTCTCTCTCTATTTCTCTGTCTCTCTCTCTCTCTTTCTCTGTCTCTCTCTCTCTCTTTCTCTGTCTCTCTCTCTCTCTTTCTCTGTCTCTCTCTCTCTCTCTCTCTTTCTCTGTCTCTCTCTCTCTCTCTCTTTCTCTGTCTCTCTCTCTCTCTCTCTTTCTCTGTCTCTCTCTCTCTCTCTCTCTCTCTTTCTCTGTCTCTCTCTCTCTCTTTCTCTGTCTCTCTCTCTCTCTTTCTCTGTCTCTCTCTCTCTCTTTCTCTCTCTCTCTCTCTCTCTCTCTTTCTCTGTCTCTCTCTCTCTCTCTCTCTTTCTCTGTCTCTCTCTCTCTCTCTCTTTCTCTGTCTCTCTCTCTCTCTTTCTCTGTCTCTCTCTCTCTCTCTCTCTCTCTCTCTCTCTTTCTCTGTCTCTCTCTCTCTCTTTCTCTGTCTCTCTCTCTCTCTCTCTCTCTCTCTCTCTCTCTCTCTTTCTCTGTCTCTCTCTCTCTCTCTTTCTCTGTCTCTCTCTCTCTCTTTCTCTGTCTCTCTCTCTCTCTCTTTCTCTGTCTCTCTCTCTCTCTCTCTCTTTCTCTGTCTCTCTCTCTCTCTCTCTTTCTCTGTCTCTCTCTCTCTCTTTCTCTGTCTCTCTCTCTCTCTCTCTCTCTTTCTCTGTCTCTCTCTCTCTCTTTCTCTGTCTCTCTCTCTCTCTCTTTCTCTGTCTCTCTCTCTCTCTTTCTCTGTCTCTCTCTCTCTCTCTCTCTCTCTCTTTCTCTGTCTCTCTCTCTCTCTCTCTCTCTCTTTCTCTGTCTTTCTCTCTCTCTCTCTTTCTCTGTCTTTCTCTCTCTCTCTTTCTCTGTCTCTCTCTCTCTCTTTCTCTGTCTCTCTCTCTCTCTCTCTCTCTCTCTGTCTCTCTCTCTCTCTCTCTCTCTCTTTCTCTGTCTCTCTCTCTCTCTTTCTCTGTCTCTCTCTCTCTCTTTCTCTGTCTCTCTCTCTCTCTTTCTCTGTCTCTCTCTCTCTCTTTCTATTATTATTATTATTCAAATCATCATCATAGTAATAATGATAAAAATAATAATGATAATGATTATTGTCATCATCATCATTGTTATTAGCATTGTTATCGTCATTATTATCTCCATTATTACTATCATTATTATTATTATCATTATTATCATCATTATCATTATTATTATCACCATCATCATCAACATCACCACCATTTCGGGGCGGGGAAGGGAGGAAGGATATATAAGATGAAAATTTATTATTCTTAATCATTTTTGAGACTACAAGATATGGCATTTCTTCCCTTCCCTCCATGCAAAACAGACACGATCAAGAATCCTGAAATGGGAACGTGTAATTATGGCTCAGATTAGCAACATCCAAGAGCGCGACGCTAATGGGCTGCGACAGATACACTCGCACATGCCCGGGTGATTCTTAGTCCACTAAAACTACACCCACATCATCATCATCATCATCATGCACGTGGGTTCTAGTCGGTTCCGGGCTCTTATAGCCTCTCCTCTCCGTGTAACTGTGGTCGTTTTGACTCTCGTTTAGTTCTGGTTGTTTTCTCTTTGGTTTTGGTATTTTCAGTCCGCGTGATTGTGGTAATTTTTGAAAAAAATATTTTACGGATATTTTCTCTCCTCGTGAATGGTCGTTTCAAGCATTTGGGACATTTTTTTTCTTCTCATCTGAATTTTAGTCATTTTTATAATCGTGGGGCATCTTCTTTCTTCGGGTAACTAGTCATTTTCATTCACCTTGGGCATTTTCTCTTCTTCCTCTCATACGGCATCTCCTCGCGGCGCTATTCAATTTTCAAACAGCAGCCTCTTTCTTCGTGATTCCGGTTGGCCTGTTTCTCATGCAGATTCTAATCGTTTCTACTCTCACACAACATCTTCTCTCGTGATTCGAGTCATTTTCACACAGCCTCTTTTTTTTTCTTCCTCGTTCTGTTTCCCATGCAGATTCTATCATTTTCACTCTCATACAGCTTCTTCTCGCGATTCTAGTCCTTTGCTCTCTCTATTTCTCTCTCTCTGTCTGTCTGTCTGTCCGTCTGTCTCTCTCTTTCTCAATCTCTCTCTCTCTCTCTCTCTCTCTCTCTCTCTCTCTCTCTCTCTCTCTCTCTCTCTCTCTCTCTCTCTCTCTCTCTCTCTCTCTCTCTCTCCCTCCCTCTTTCTCTCTCTCGCTCGCTCTTTCTTTTTTCTCTCCCTCTCTCCCTCCCTCCCTCCCTCTCTCTCTCTCTGTTTCTCTCTCCCTCCTCCCCTCTCTCTCTCTCTCTTTCTCTTTCTCTCTGTCTCTCTCTCTCTCTCGCACAGCATCTCTCCTCTCGTCACTCCCCCGTCCCTCGTCGATTCCCGCAGGTGACACATCCGCCAAGGTACTTGAGTAAACGCGAGTTCTCAGCCTCCCTCGCCGTAACAACGCCCTCGCATAGTAGGTCCGCCCATATCCATATCACCGAGAGCGTACAAGTAGGCGTGGGCGGAGAGTTGCCTATGTTTATGGGTGTGGGTTTTGCGCTGGACAGTTTGCTTTTTTTTGTATCATTATTTATT